TAAAGAAAAAAATAAAACAAGAAATTAAAAGAAAAAAAAAACAAATGAAAAAATTATAAAGGAAATTAAAACAACAAACCAGGGGGTATTAATGGGTCATGGGACCCACGGTAAGAACGAAGTTCTTTAAACATGAGATGGGTATAGACACAATTTCTCAGGTAACAAGGGGGTCGCCAGACTCACAGGAAGAACGAAGCTCTATAAATGTTAGTACTGCATTCATGTTGTTTAATAAAACAAAAACTTGAAAAACGAATGAAAAAAAAAAAAACAATAAGTAGTTTAGTACTCACGAAGTTCAACCATCGTGAGTACTAAACTACTTACTGTTTTTTTTTTTTTTTTCATTTGCTTTTCAAGTTTTTGTTTTAGTAAACAACATGAATGCAGTACTAACGTTTACAGAGCTTCGTTCTTCCTGTGGGTCTGGTGACCCCCTTGTTACCTGAGAAATTGTGTCTATACCCATCTCATGTTTAAAGAACTTCGTTCTTACCGTGGGTCCCATGACCCATTAATACCCCCTGGTTTGTTGTTTTAATTTCCTTTATAATTTTTTCATTTGTTTATTTTTCTTTTAATTTCTTGTTTTATTTTTTTCTTAATTTCTTGTTGTATTCTTTTTTTTTTCATTTCTTGTTGTATTTTTTTTCACACTTCATTTTATTACATTTTTTTCAATTTTTTGTATTTCCTTTATTTAATTTTTTTGTTTTATTTTCATATTTATTTTTTTTTATCGTGAAATGAAATTTCAATAGATTCAATGATAAGTATTTTAAGTTCGAGGGTAGTTCAATAAGTCCTTAGAAAATCTAAGACATAGCGCTCGTAGCATCGCAAATTTTGTTTTTAGTAAACATTATTGTTTACTACAGATATCTGACAAAGTTGGATTTTACTTTATGGCATATCTGCCCCTGTGCAGTTTACATTTGGATAAATGAATTTAAATTCCGTACGAAAACGAAAGACAAACATCGTTCGGAACGTCCTATAGACGTGCGAGCAAGAAATGATCGATAAAATCCACGATATGGTAATCAGTGACCAAAGAATAAAATTAAGCGAAATAGTTTAGGTCACAAGAGTTTCAATGGGTACTATAGTTTTAATTTTTCATCATGAATAGGGTAGGGGTAAACGACTCAATTACTGGTGACATGGTGTATGTATGGAAATAAAGTATGTACGTCATCAAGTTTTTCGACTACCTCAAGTAACTGTGACCCAAATGCGCTAAAAATTTTTTCGTAACTTTAAATTGGATGTCTAAGCTGATGGTTTGAATTTGGAGAAGTTTCATTGAAAGGAAAAATTTTGACAGAGTTTTTAGTGCAACGGTCTGAGACAAAAAAATCGTTTTTTCAGCTATAACTTTTTTGACATACATTTCACACGTTTGCGTTCAAAGGCAGAGTTGTAGATCTCGTTGAAATACAACTTTCTAATACCATACACATCGCTCTAGATTGCAGTGCAAACGCTCTATAAAGCAAAATACGTACAAAAACAGTGAAAGAAGCGGTTTTTGCCTGCTACAGAAATGAATTGAAATCCTACGACGAAACTTTAAACACAAAAAATTTTCAGCTCATCAAAATAAAACGTGTGTAAGTTTTTCTCTACAATGCCGTCGTAACGATGAAATCGGCAAAAATCGTTTCAAAACAGCCGACAAATCGTTTTGTACCATCTAATTACTGTTTTGAATAATTTAATCTATAGTGTCGTTATGATACACTTAATATCGAAAAACGTTTTAAGCTGAAAAAATGATTGTTAGTTTAAATTTAAACTTAGCATATTTATACTCAGTTGGATATATCAACGGAATAATATTAAATTTGAATTCTATTGTTGAAATAACACTTTTTGCTCTGGCACCTTGTAGGATGGTCGTGCCTTACAAGCAAGACATAGTGTTTTGCTTAAATTTAGCTACTTTTTTTTACACGTGACTCGTATTGAACCGAGATTGAAGGTAAATGAAAAATCAAAAAAAATTGTAGATTTTACAATAGTTGATTTTGTCACATTGACGTAACAAGGGTGATTAAATTGCTAGCCTATATAGGACCTTTGTCACTGGCTTGGACGGTTGTGAGAAAAAGTCTGAAGTTGAAAAAAATGTCTAAGGTAGGATATTACAACTTTCTCCACGTGTTTGCTTAAAGAGAGTGACTTTTTTATGTTAAACAAAATACCTTACATTGATTGAAGGGAATTACAATTAATTTTTAAAAACTTGAAAATTGTTAAAAATTGTAAAAAAACACACCTTACATACAAAAGTTTGGATTTAAATTCATCGCCATGTTTTTCTTCAGAACGATGAATCGATTTTAAGAATTCACGTATTGATCGATTGCACATCTTCAATCACCGATACATACCTTCAAGAAGGATGCGTGTACCTCAAGCCACGAACTTTTACTGTTTCTCATAAATTGCTTAGGATTTCCGCGTCAATGATAATTCTTATTTGACGCAATAAAATAAGAATTAAAAAAATCACTGTTACCAATTCAAAGAAAGCCTATAGTTGTTAAGAACTTGCGTGAAAAAGACCCGGCTCCTCGGCCTTTCATCCCGAGCGAACTATGCATTCGCGTACACGATACAGGAAACGATAACAATTATCAACATACCCCAGCCTGTACGCCACTATTATCATCGTCATATATCTCTACCATCCGCGTGAATTAAACCGAAACGAAAAGAGATAAAGAAAAAGAGCTGTGCATAGGGAAGGAAAGGTGTAGTTTTACGAGGCTACATAGCTTCAGCGAAACAACAGAGAATAAGGGAGCGATGGAGAGAGAGAGAGAGAGAGAGAGAGAGAGAGAGAGTGCGGTTGAAGGGGGACAAAAAAAGGGTATAATACAGAGGTAGTGCTGTAACGGAGATAAAGCGTAAACGAGGAAAAAGGAAGAAGCGTGAGAGCGAGTGGGAGAGAGAGAGAAGGAGCGCAGAAAGATATACCGATCCTCGGTTAAAAAGAGGAAGATGAGAGGTGCAACGACTCCTCTCGCAGTGGAGCTGCATTCCAGCAGCTCGACCGAGTGTGGGCGTACGGAGATGTGTGTGTACGGAGTTATCACAAACGCGCTTCGGATTCTTTGTCTTTCCCTTGTACTTCGAAGATTTCTTGGTCCCATTTTTACCAGGGAATCATGAATTGGTTTTTAGTACAGTACTGAAAATATTTTCGAGTATGGTTAGAAATTTTACTGCAAATAGCAATGACATTTACTGGGGGTGTATAACACAGAAGTTTGTCGGTATCCACCACTAAGTCAAAGTTTGGTGAATCCTTTTTGTTTTTGGGTGTCTACTCTAACGTTGGGAAAGACTTCACGATATAGTCCCAATAGTAAAAGCAGTACAAAGACAAATATGTGCTCCGAACTTATATCGTC